AGGAGCACAAATGTGCTTATTTGTAAAAGGATAAAAACATAATAGTGGAGAATTCTAAAAACCACACTGTTCTGTACAAGTGCAAAAACTTGTTTAAGTATGAAATCTAATATGTAGTCTTAAACTGCATGCTTTTTCTTTTCCGAATTTTGGATGTCTTTAATTTTAAGTAAAGCTTTTCAAAAGCCAAAAGGTTCCCGCAGAAGACAGGAAAGCAGATACCCCATCAGGAATGTAAGGCAAATTGAAAACAGGAAATTAAGAGAAACTTCTTAACTTTGGCAAAGAGTGCATTCCTTCTTGTTCACCTATGAACTCTTAAATTGAGCTTCAAACCCCTGCAAACTGTGCACAAGATTTGAAAGCATCATGAGAATTTTATTCTAGAAATTATTTTCACAAGCTCTCAAGGCTTGGTTTCTTTTCCAGTTCAGTTATTTTTGTACATTATTTTACTTTTTACCAATCATCCTGTTGTTCGGCTTGGTGGGGGGGAAAAGTCAGAATGTGTTAAAAGTAAAATTGCCAATATTTAAGCAGTACAAAATATTTTTGAAATCATGTCAAGGAACATTTTTTTCTAAAGAGATTTGGACTTTTTTTTCCAAAAACCTATCATGGCTGAAAGTCATACTTTAATGTTGAAGCCATAGGCACTTTAATAACAGTGAGAATAGCCCAGCAGGAACAATAACATAGTGCAAATTTCAGAGTGATTAATATGAAAAACATTCCCTGAATGGAGAATTCGGGGATGTTTATTGGTCCCAAGGGATTTTGCATTAGCTTTGGTCAATGAAATCCATTATCTCTGTGCAACAAGCATACAAAATTGATATCTTCATAGCCTAAACCTTCTGTGGGTATCTGTTTGATGTTGGTGAAAAGTAATTCTGCCACTCACCAGAATGTTTACGGTCATTGCTCCTGTTTTGTTGGTGCTAATAACATAACTTTACAGCAAAACATCTCTGTCACCTACAGATAGAACTCTGCCTAATAAAAATTGATACATCTTCACTTTGCCGTCCTTTTTGAAGAGTAGGCATTCTCAGGGTTCCCAGTCTGGGAAACTGGGACATCTCACAATGTCTGTGCTGCCACACTTGGTTGCTTGGTTGATCATGGCTCTCACACTTCCTCTTGTACATGTACCTGGTTGAATCACATCTGCTCCTCGTAAGAAATCCAGCTGATGTAAATAGAAGACAGTCCTTGCTACTTCAGACCGCGTCAGCAAATTGGAACTTAAAACGAAAAGATGGAACAAAGAAAAATAAAATTAGAAGGAGCATTAAATCAAAAGTCAATTTAAAGTCTTTTTTTATTCTATTGTGGCAATTTGAATTTGATGAATAAGTTTCAATCAGTCCAACGCAGTGAAATTGAAATGGATTTTTCCTCCTGAGCACCCCTGCCATTCTCCCATGAGATGATTCCCCACAGAGTGCAAGTCTGGCCTCTGTAAGGCTTTCAAGTTGCGAGGTGAATCCTTTTTATCAAAGCGAGATGAGAACGCACAGTGGTCGATTCCTGCCTGAACCCCAGTGTTCCTTGACTCTTCTGTAATGATAAGCACATGAGATGCATTTCTCCTGAATGGCGGGCCAATATATATCTGGTGTGGTTTATCCTCAGTACATTAAAGGGGGCTACATCATAAGTGCTCGCAGCTGCTGTTTTTATATGCAACTCTGCCAATCCCAGGTCAGGGAGATTAGAAAGCCTAAGATACCTGTAGGGCTTCTCCGTAAAATCGGTCAACAGAGTGTTTTCCTTTTTGTAATCATAAAACAATCCACGATACCACGAAAATCCACGATACAAAATACCATCCAGGATTTTTGAATGACTTTGAAGCTTATTTAGTATTATTTAGTGAAGTATTTAATATTTTCATTGGAAACATCTGTGAAAAATGAGAAAATTGTTCTGTAGCTGAACTGGGAGTTGTCCGGAGTCGAGTGATAAGACCCACCTGGCTTGCAGTATCTAGAGACCTTTAACTACCTGTTCCCTCCCTGACTACAATCTCCATTGCATACAGATGAGACCCCCTGAAAGGGCACCAAGCGTTTTGGTCCAAATCCTGCTAGAGAAATAAAAGCTGAGGTACTCTAGGAGCAATCCATAAAAAACAAGTCTTACATGCTCCTAATGAAAAGACACGGTGTTCTGTTATGTCAAAGGCCTATAATCATTTAACTGTCTGACAGTTCTTATTAACCAATTTAAAACTATGGCTCAGAGGAATGTCAGACTTTTATTATAATATATTGAGAAGTATGCCGATCCATCTTCCCAATGTGTGGCTGTATGTCTCTCTCAATGCTAACTTGGCACAGAACATCCAAGTAGTCCCAAGTCAAACATGTGTTTAAATATCCTGCTTCTTCCCCCTGATTCTTTATTGTTTTACCGTGACAGGATCCACAAGGATTTGTAATTCATATCCACAACGGTGCTGCCGAATCCATCCATGTGTGTGTATCCCAACTGGGATGCTTCTTTTTAACATGTTCAAATCTGCCTCCAGCAAAAATACTATTTTGTGCATCTGAACTGACCGCTGTTAGATGACTATTGTATTTGGGGAGTTTATGTATATTTTTGTTATGTTTTTATTACATTTTGTGTAGAAGATTTATGATCCAAAAGACTACAGCATGCTCTGTTAAATGTCCAAATAACTTTAATTAAAAATTAAAAATGAATATATGTGGCTAGTATGAATGAAATCTGAAGGGGGGTAGTGTCTATTGTGAAAAAGACTGGATAAACCTTACTGTGCAAATAGTGAATAGTTTTTTTTTGGGTCTTCTAGCTGGTGGCTCATTTCCTCAAAGCACAGACAGCAGACAGCCTTGGGTTTGGATGAGTGAAAGTAGTAATTTGCTAAAAATTGAGTAACGGTTTTGTGTAGTCTTCGTGTCATTTGAAATTGTCTTTTATTTAGTTCCACTACCTATGCTCTAGTTTTAAAGGAACATGTCCTTTAAAGAAAAGGAATGAGTGCGGGTGAAGATCAGAGTTGGATTATGTTGCTTTTAATCTCATTTTTTAGATGTCGGAGGTGGGGAAAGAGTCTAGCAACAAACCAAGTAATAAATGGCCGTTTACTTCATGTTCATGTTAAATCATGTTCATCTCATGTTCTCAATAGGAAAACAATATTCATCTTCTAACATAGAACTATAGCCTAAAATTATCATCTCTTTTATTGTTATTTTTGTTTTGGTAACTCTTCCGTTGTTGGATTCAAACAATTGGATAATTTGACCTTTAAGTTCTCCAACAAACTTTTCATAACTCATGCTGTTTTTTGTGCGCTCCATACTAATGTATAAATTTCACGACAACATAAGAGTGTCTCTGGAAAACACATTAGCTGCTCAGGGCGAGGGTGATGATTCATGGGTCTTTAGTGGAGACACAACCTGCAGCTTCACAGTGAAGACGCTTGCATGCCAGATGAGTGGCGCAGTCTACAAACGTCTCTGACTCTTCATTACACCCTGTTGAACAGCATCCAACAGCTGGCAACTGCCCCTGGGGCAGGAAACTATTGGGTTACAGTGCCCAATGTTGAGCGCTATGGCAGGGGTGCGCAGTCTGTACCACTGCATTTTAATAAAGTCAAATGGGTCAAAGACGTTTTACTGTAACTTTAAAGGTTTTTCCGTCTGTGATGAGACAGATGGCAAAATGTAATAATACAAACATCTGCTTCTTATCTCCTGCCCCAGTAATATTCTGACACCCAGGCTGTGCAGCCACTCAGTTTCAGTCTGAGTGTGCCTCCATTTCCGTGTTCATGTCTGTATATTTTTTTTAAAAGGACAGATTTGAATGTACATCAAGTTTGCTGGCAGAACTCCTAAAATTTCCTCTTGCTTGCTCGTTAAGTCAGAATTAAGATACTTATTGTTTTACCAATATTATACAAAAGATGGCGCAGAGCTTTTATATAATGAAAAATGACCTCATATCCCCTTAGTTAATGATTTTCAGTACCATCTCATGACAAGGAGACTGCTCAGTGCTTTATAAAAGGCTTATAACAGTTCAGTAAGGTTATATCTTTGAATGTGTTCTGGATATTATGACTTGCTGTGCACACTTGCCAACACATACTAATAGTATAAAGATTTGATGTTCGATTATATTGTAGTTCATTTGTTTTAAATTACATGACATGCTTCCAAGAGAAAGACATTGTATGCAAATTATACTGAATTTCAAACACAAGCACAAACAAATCTGTTTCATAATACTGTGGGGAATTGAATTTGATGAATACTCTTCACGTAATTCAACTCTGTGGATCTGTCCGTGAATTATACAGAGTTCTGTCTTTCTCTCTTCATCCCTATAACTCAGTTTGCAACAAAAGTCTCCATGAAAGTTTTTTTTCCAGTGAAAACTACTGCTCCCTAGTGGCCTGTTGATAACTAGCTGTAAGTAAAAGCAGATGTTTCGCATTCGGCCAGGACTGTATAACTAAGGAATCACGCTGCCGTGCATACACACTAGGATGTATCATTTTTTTAGAATTTAACTGAAAAGAGCTTTTAATACCAATTAAGTCCAGATAAATAATAATAAACCAGCAGGATCACTGTAAAAAGTGGATGAGTTGAAGTAAAAATGTAAGTGTAAGAAGATGTAAGAAGATCTTTTTTTTAATCCCAATCCACACACGTGTGAGAAGGTGGGGATGAGGGAATAAGGGATCTTATTAAGTTTCTTTACTTTTCCTTTTTATTTGGTATTGTACAATTATTCTCCCTTCACAAATATCACAGTTTGTATACTCAAAACGTACTCACCTTTATGTAAATCTGACATTATATGCTTAGTATTTCAACATGAACATTTTTGACAGTATGAAACTGTAAAGGTGCTTTTATTTGTTTCTCTAGTGTTCAGTCACTGCTCAGTAGTGGTAATGGGGACAGTGTCCAGTGAATGCCCAGTGTGATCTTTATTTGCTTTCCCAGGGATGAGTACGATGAGGAAGGATTCTGTCAGCCCTACAGAGGCATCGCTTGTGCAAGGTTCATTGGCAACCGGAGTATTTTTGTGGATTCACTACAAATGCAGGGTGAAATTGAAAATCAGATAACAGGTATTTATGTACTGTATTTGGCTTTGTCTTTTGTTAAAATATTACAACATTTTATTTTTATATTCCACCTAAAATACACACATATCAACGGAAATCGGATCAGGTTGAATGTTTCTGAGGCGTATTTGCAGTACTTTCAAGATTTCAACCCAATTAAAACTCAGAAGGAAAAAAAGACATAATTATCCACAATGGTTAAATGCAGATGGACTTAATCTGTTTCATACAATTCAAATCTCGTATTAACAAATGCATTCTTATAAGGTATGTGTCTCTTAATAAGCATTGACAATGACACAATGACACTGGAGTAAAGTATGAGAAATAGATGTTGATCTATTGAAACAGATGATCCACAAGTTTGTGGCATGTTCTACAGTGACCATTTTGTATTGTTCCAGAATGTTACTTTTGAATTATAATACGGAGCAGGTTCCAAAAACAGGTGTAATTTAATCCAGTATGATGTGCATAAACTAAAGTGGTTTTTTTTGCACTTTGGTTCCAAATAAAGTGCATAAATCTTGTTTTCTATCTTTGTTGACACAGCTTGTTTAATATGCAATATTTTAAAATTAATTTACTCTCAAGGCATACTCTAAAATCATGATCACAAAGTGCTACATCTGTTAAAGGTCCAGTATATCTTCAGGAAACATGTCTTTGGCAGCCAGAGTATTCTCTTCTGTCTTTGTCCTAAAGTTCTATAAAATGTAAAATACTTGACAGGGACAAGGTCTATACTGTCATTTGAAGTTAAATAACCATTGCAGTATAATGTCTTAGTAGCCAACAAAAGGTAGTGAATGAAATAGTCTGGGAAAAATTGATATTTATTTGACGGCAGTAAAATTATTGCAAACTTACACTTAATTGCATTACTGTGCTATACTGTGTGTGCTGCATCTGAAGCTTTAGAAATATAAAGACAGTTTTGTCTGCTGTGACTAATGTACCCGAGGAAAGATGTCTGAAATAGAGAAGTTGGAATTGGAGAGTGTGGAGTGTGGAGTGTGGAATTGAAGACGGAAGCTAGGGTACTTATTGTGATTTAATATATATAATACGTTTTTATTACAAATGGTCAAAAAAGTTGTGTTTTTTACTGAGGAAATAGAGACCTCTGTTGGTTTTCAGAGCGGCTTTGATTTTTTTTTCCTTTTCTTAGCGGCTTTCACGATGATCGGCACCTCCAGCCATCTGTCAGACAGGTGCTCCCAGTTCGCCATTCCCTCCCTCTGCCACTTCGCCTTCCCCTTCTGCGACAGGACATCCGGAGTGGACAAGCCCCGCGACCTGTGCAAGGATGAGTGCGAGATCCTGGAAAACGACCTCTGCAAGACGGAGTACATCATCGCCAGATCCAACCCCGTCATTCTCAAGAGGCTCAAGCTGCCCAACTGCGACGACCTTCCTGCCTCCGACAGCCGCGAAGCAGCCAATTGCATGAGGATTGGGATCCCCATGGCGGAGCCCATTAATAAGAGTAAGACCAGGAGAAGTGGATTGTCCATTGCTGTGTGCCAGTGGTGGTCCTTCCTCTGAAAGCTTTTCGAAATGATTGCCCTTTCTCTTTTGTCTCCCTCCCATCTCTAGCTGACAGCTGTTATTAAAGTACTTAATAATAAGTATTAATAATAATTCCTTACACTTATATAGCACTTTTCTGGACACTCCACTCAAAGCGCTTTACAGGTAATGGGGACACCCCTCCACCACCACCAATGTGCAGCCCCACCTAATTGATGCGTCTGCAGCCTGGGTTCATGAGCAGCTCAGCCAGTAAAGGCGCAGGTGTAGAGAGCAGTTTGAGATCTGTGATCCAGATGTCATTGGTTCAAAGTGACCGACTGTAACTGACAGTGCTACAAAACGGGCTCAGCGATGCTGGGGGCAGGGCTGGAATGACCTGCCCAGGGCTCCTTCACTGCCTAGTGATCCTGGTGTCTGCACGTTTATGGTGGACACAAATCTCCTCAAACCCCTCCTGAACCTCCTGTATGTGGCTGCTGTGTAGCTCCGTTTAGTGAGTAGCTCGTAGCTTGTCAAAAGAGGAATGGCTCAATGGAGCAGACATATACGGTACTTTCTTATGTTTCCCTTTTGGGTCCAGGGATCATTTCTGTATGCCAAGACAGAAAGTCGCAGTTAGCAAACCCAAATTGAACAGGTATAAAAAAAGCAATTGCCAATTCTAATTTTTCTGAAAAGGAAAAAAGAAATCTGTAAATTTGACTGCTACAAAATTGTCTGGAGAAGGGTTTAAGGAGTCATTGTTTCTAATATTAACATGCTCTGTCAATTTTTCCTTTTTTTATTGTATTCCTTTTACAAACCGTCTCTTTGCCAAGCAGTCGTTAAATTGATATGCCTTTGTGCACATCTGGCACATCTGTACTTGAAGTAGTTTGAAATGGGTTTCTCACAGGGTTGTACAGCTGTTCTGAAGGAGACTGTGCTGTCTGACTTTTCTAGATCACAAGTGCTACAACAGCTCTGGTGTTGAGTATCGGGGGACCGTCAGTGTTACCAAGTCAGGACTGCAGTGCCAGCCCTGGAACTCCCAGTACCCCCACAGCCACACCTTTTTAGCAGTGAGGTACCCAGAGTTGAATGGGGGGCACTCGTACTGCCGGAACCCTGGCAGCCAGCATGAGGGTCCCTGGTGCTTCACCCTAGACGACTCTGTCAGGATGGAGCTGTGTGAAATCCCAGTCTGTGGTGAGAACTACATATTAATCAGAATTCCACTCAGTATTTGCTTATGTAAACCATAAACCGTCTGCACCGAATTTTATTGTCAGAAAAGCCTTATACAACTAAAGGGATATCAAATGTGATCATTGTTCAGCTTTTCACTGCCACATGAGAGCTGAATTATTTAATTCTAAGTACTGTTGGTCAGCTTTGATTGTTTCCTTGTCCTACATTGTTTCTTTGGAAATGTAAAGTTCCTGCATTTTATTTTGTCTTATGTTAAAGGAGGCCTAATTAACCTGCATTTATGAATTAAAAAAATAACACTGTCATTCCACACTACAATTACTTGGTTTCCAAATAATTTCCAAAGTTCAACTACATGGTACAGAAAGATATTTTTCTAGGTAATTTATATATTTTTTAAAATAAAAGAAAGCAATAAAAATGGTGCCCAGACCTCTTTTATCTCTCCTGGGGGGCACATAAATAAAATATTTAGCACTATATTTAATTTACACCTATTCCTTCCTCAAAAAAGCCACAGTGAAGAGGTTGTAAAGTGCCAGACAATTCTTTTGGGGTACTAATTTAAGAGTCCCTGTGGGCAGTTATAACAGTCTAAAATTTGTCTGTTTAATTGTGTAATGTGAGGATTTTTTTTTTTCGTTTTACAAACATGTGGGGAGAGTGTCTTTAAACAAGAGAAGGCATTATCTTTTCATCCTCCAGACTTCAAGGAGAGCAGTAAGATGGGGATCCTCTACATCCTGGTGCCGAGCGTTGCCATTCCTTTGGCCATAGCCCTGCTGTTCTTCTTCATCTGCGTCTGCCGCAACAACCAGAAGACCTCAAGGCCCCCAGCCCAGAGGCAGCCCAAACCAGTACGCGGCCAAAACGTTGAGATGTCCATGCTGAATACGTATAAGCCTAAGGTTAGTGACTGTAGCACAGCCCGTGTAAAAATGTACCATCTTCTTGGCCATGGATGAATATAAGAACGGCCTAAGAACTTCTGATTTCATCATATTCTGTGGTATGAAAGGCCCCAACTTCAATATGGTTCCTCACAGGGCCGAAGTGAGCATTGAAAAACTCACAATGGCTTGATAATCCAATGGAGACATCTTTTTACCGCAGCAAACCCCGTGAGTTGCCCTATTCCAACTAACCTCATGACGCCCTTTTTATACCAATCATTCCTTTAATCACACCCATATGAGAATTCACCTTCTAACTCTTCACCAATTTTCCAATTAACTAATTGTCCCCCAGAGTGTCTATTTAGAGAAATTTAATGGCCTAAAGTGGCATAACAGCTGTAAATGTTAGTCTATCCTGACCCGGCCTGCTGCACATCGCAATGTAACTGCAGAACACATGAGATGGTAAACAAGGAGAGCTGAACTCTTGTATGTGTTACTTTATAGTTGTTGTAAGCCAGCTGTGCCATAGACTTTCATGGTCCAAATGCTGGCATTTTTCGGACACTGATTTTTCTATGCTTTACGGCTTGAGATGCAGCAGGCAAGTACATCATGTCCCTATCAACTCAGTGCAGTGAGTGGCAGTCTGTGGTCATCACGTTTAGTTTTATCTAATATACAGTGGTCAGAAATGAATATAAATGATGTGCTGTTTAGTCTAAACTTTCAGTCCCAGCATCAGGAACTCTCAGGTGGCACAAAATCAGGGAAAAGCAAGCACTTTAACTTGCAGTAAACAAACAGCATTAAAAGTACAATAGGCTATTAATTCCTCTTTTTTCCCTCTCCTTTAATTTACACTGCGTTTGTTTTGTCTTTGAACATTTTAACTGTTTTTCTTAGGTTGCTTTCCTTTGTGTTCAAATTGAGATGTTCGTAGCTTTTTGAAAACTTCTCATATCCTTTACTTCTTGATGCAGACATCCAGCATAAAGCAAAGTTTGCCACCACATGGAAGTCATTTGCCAAAAGCCCAGGAATCTTGGTGTGGTGGTGTTCTTATTATTTTGCATTCTTCTGGTACAACGCGGCATTCTCTGGATAGTATATAATTCCCCATTGCTTTGACAAACCAAACCACCACAAACCCTGTGGTATTCTGACTTCTGAAGTAACATTGTTGTACACTTTCATCGACTTTCCAAAACAAACAGTGTGGAAGTCAGTTTTAAAAACGGCATCCGAAGAAAGCACAGGAGATGGTGTTGTGTATCTGAAGTTGTGAAAGCTCTGTCTGAAGCTCGAGGTTTGTTCTGCTTGCTGTGTGGCCATGCTGAGGAGCTGATTTCTGGCCTCCAGATCTCCATCGGTCAGGTCACAGACCTTTAGGAGTAGGGAGAGGAAGGGGGACTTTCTTCAGGAGTCAATCAAAATCTATTTATAATAAGCTCTGTTCTTTTTATCAACAAAACCATAGCCAGCATCACAATGACATCTTTTGTGTGTTTCCTGGTGTCTCTATGATCCTATAGAGATCTCTGTTTTCCTTACAATAGACTCAAGTCCGTACTCATTGCATAAATTTCTCATTTGCACAAATATTATAATTGTGGTGTTTCTGTCCATAGGGTTATGCTGTTAATTTCAGTATCCTTTGCCCTTTGCCTATCTCTCACAGGCTGTTTACTTTCTAACTATTTTTTATTTTTATTTTTGGCCAGCACATGCATGAAAAATAACTCAATGTTTATAATGCACATATTCTGAGTTTAAAAATAGTGTACTATTTGTCCTTCTTTTGTAGTATTTCTTAAAAGAAGAGTAATTTTCTGTATTATTCTAGCCTAAGTAAATATATGTTTTAGGAATGGGCATACCACAACAAGGAAGTAGCTGAGAGGTTATATGCAGTATCCAAGATGTGTAAGAGATGACTCTTGAACATTTAGTGAGGGAATGTGTCTTTCTGTCCTTAGGACACTTCATCTGAGGCACGTTTTTTTACACTACAAGATTTAAATGTTTTCTAAGATTCATCAAATGTCACTGCTGATCAGTCTTCCTCTACTGTACATCACAAGATAATCAGGAACGAGACAGAAGCTGGGAAATGTTTTCCATGACATTGAGTTTACATTGGCCAGTAGCACTGTGCATTCTTCAAAAAACAATTTACACTGGGTACAGCACAGAATTGTCAAACAACAAGCTTGCAGATTTATAGCCTCTAGCTTAGACATCTATTTAATTTCTGCATACTTATGGCCCTGGGTATCTTTCCCAGTGTCACTGCGAACAAGCCCAATCCTGTTATAGGTCATAGAGGGGTCACTGTTTATGACAAGTATTTTGTAAACCATGAGGAAGATTGAACTGAGCTTTGGCTTCAAGGATCTTCTGTAACATAAAACATCTGTCCTTTTTGCAATAACACTGATTTCCGCTTGCTTCCCCACAGACTGTGGCTTCTGTCAGGAATTTCATTTTTTCATTTTGTGTTATTGGGGTTTCTCATCCTCTCTGACCTTTCATCTCTTGTTCAGAACTAGCCCTTTAGTCTGTAACCACACCGAGTGTATTTTGGTAATTAAGCAGTTTTATCTACCTGAAACGTATCATAATGGTAAACAACAAAAAAGACAGTAACAAACTTACTGTATCAGATCTCTTCCAAACAGTCCAAGAGAAAGAATAACAAAATTTTTGTATAACTCATTGCACAACAGAATTCTCCCTCTATACACAAAATGTTTATATGACAAAAATGTTGAGTCTTTGAGTTTATGCAAATTTACATCCTCTGGTAAATTTAATCTACAATTTAACTCACCTCAGTGTTCACATTGAATAAGACTTTTTTCTTATAAGATTTTATTTAGTCAAAGTAAGATCTGCTTAAGGTTGTTTTAATGGTTATTGGCTAAAGGAGCTGAATAATTAATAATCTTGTGAGATAGAACCACAACTGTAGTGATACAAGTAGGAAAAAAGGCTAATGTCTACATAATTCAAAGAGTGACATGTAAGTTTTATCTTTATTTTGTGTATAGGTAGTGTTTGTCCTATGGGGTCATTCCACTCTAGGTTTGAAAGCTATAATTAAATAATTCAGTATTTTATGACTGGTCAAAGGTCAAACTGATTCTGATTAACCATCTGAGGAGCGCAGTGCAAACAATGAGTATGACCAGAAGGGTCAAAGTACATTTCTCTGAAGATTTACAAGGAAGGATAGCTTGAAATTTTATCCTCTGAAAATATATTCATTCCAACAACAAATGCAATAAATTCAAGTTTGCTTCATGGAATGCTATTTTAACTTCTTTAGCTTTTATGCAGTTCAGAAGTTCAATGGTTCCATAAAAAGTGAGGTGCAATAAAAGTACTATAGTTGTGCTATTGGAAACGTTTTTTGTTTCAAAACTGTAACAGATCTGCACTTATTCTCTGCTTACTGCTGGGGTCTACAGTTAAAACAAATGGTTTGACTCAGTACTTAACTGACTATTAACTGACAATGCTATTTGGAGATTGCAAGCATCTGGTACCACCTACTGGTGCTTGCATGTAATTTCAGTTTAAAGTAAAATGTTCCAGGGTTAATTTACCAGAGGAAGTAAATTTGCAGAAAGCAAAGACTCCATATTTTTAGCATATAAATATTTTGTGCATAGCTAATCCCCCTACACCTGGGAGCTTCATACTAAAAACTGTATAAATGTCAGAGAGCGTCAAGGCCAATCACAAATGTTATTCATTTGGTGGTTTTAATTGCTATATATAGATACGCTGGTTTAAATAAATGAGCTATATTTTTATGTAGGTTATAATCAACATTTTTGTATTTAGGAGCCCGTATAGTACCTACCAATTATAAATAAATATCACATTTGTATAGGTTCTCTGTGTATTACATAATTTTAATTAGTTCTTCTAAAAAGACAGAAAAAGTGTTGCATTTACAGATGGTCATGAAGTGCTAAACTGAATTGCTAGCTCAAAATTATTATTATTATTATTATTATTATTATTATTATTATTATTATTATTATTATAACCTGTTGTTGTTGTTATAGCTTTTCTGGACACTCCACTAAAAACATTTTCCTCTCAATTGTGTGCTACAAAGAAAAGGTGGATTGTGCCTTACTTTTGAAGTTGATTTTTTTTTAATCTGCATTCAAAACAGCGATCTCGCCTGTTATTTTCTTTTACACGAATTCACTCTCTGAATCAGACCGCTAATACGGTGTTCCTCGTGAAGAGGAAATTCTCAATAGTTGCTTTTGAGGCAATAAGAAGCATCTGTTGACTGTTGAGGCTTGAAATGCTACCACTAAGCAAGCATCTGAAATCTGAAATCTGAAATCTGAATCTGAAAATTAGGAAACTCTGTGAAAACAGCATGTTAGTGCTGCTTCATCACATCAGACACCACACCCAGACACAAAGTGAAGAATGTACAAAATAATAACTGATAATTTGATTTCTTATGTATAATTTCCCTCCTGTAAGTTTCTTACTTCCCTTTTGGCATAAACCACACTTGACCTGCACAAGAGCCATTTTATTCACCCTATAAATGCATATTCTGTACACCATTATTTCAGATTTTCAGTTTGCTGTATTGTCTCTCCTTTTACGTATGCTTTTCATTACAAATCCTGCAGCTAAAAAAAAAATTTATTTCCAAAATGGAAGCAGTGATAGCTGTATAATAATAAGAATTATTATTATTAGTATTATTATGATAAGTGGTATCTGTGTTTGTTTCTGTGCTCGCTGGTCACACCGCTCTGTTCTTCTCTCTCTTCCTTTAGAGCAAAGCCAAGGAGTTGCCCCTGTCAGCCGTACGCTTCATGGAGGAGCTTGGCGAGTGTACCTTTGGGAAGATCTACAAGGGACACCTCTACCTACCCGGTATGGACCACGCCCAGCTGGTCGCCATTAAGACCCTGAAGGACTATTCCAACCCCCAGCTGTGGGGCGAGTTCCAGCAGGAGGCTTCCCTCATGTCAGAGCTTCACCACCACAACATGGTGTGCCTCCTGGGTGTGGTGACGCAGGAGCAGCCCATTTGCATGCTCTTTGAGTTCTTGAACCAGGGCGACCTGCACGAGTTCCTCATCATGCGTTCCCCCCACTCGGACGTGGGCTGCAGCAGCGACGAAGACGGCACTGTCAGGTCCAGCCTAGACCACGGGGACTTCCTGCACGTGGCCATCCAGATCGCGGCAGGCATGGAGTACCTGGCCAGCCACTTCTTTGTCCACAAAGACCTGGCCGCTCGCAACATCCTGGTCGGGGAGCAGCTCCAAGTCAAGATCTCCGACCTTGGCCTGTCGCGGGAAATCTATGCCTCGGATTATTACAGAGTCCAGCCCAAGTCTCTCTTGCCCATCCGGTGGATGCCACCGGAGGCCATTGTGTATGGGAAGTTTTCCACGGACTCGGACATTTGGTCCTTCGGTGTCGTTCTGTGGGAGATATTCAGCTTTGGCCTGCAGCCCTATTATGGCTTCAGCAACCAGGAAGTGATCGAGATGGTGAGGAAACGGCAGCTGCTACCCTGCCCAGAGGACTGCCCCCCCAGGATGTATGGCCTGATGACAGAATGCTGGCAGGAGAACCCCTCAAGGAGGCCACGGTTCAAGGACATCCACACCCGGATGAGAACCTGGGAGGGCATCTCCAGCCACGCCAGCTCCACCACGCCCTCCGGTGGAAACGCCACAACGCAGACCACCTCCCTGAGCGCCAGCCCAGTGAGCAACCTCAGCAATCCCCGCTACGCCAACTACATTCACATTCCACAGGGGATACCACAGGGTCAGATTGCAGGATTCATGACGGCCCAGATGCCTCAGAATCAGAGATTCATCCCGGTAAACGGGTACCCCATTCCAACTGGCTATGCCGCCTTTCCCGCTGCCCATTTCCAACCCCAGGGCCCACCGCGGGTTATCCAGCATTGTCCACCCCCCAAGAGCCGTTCCCCCAGCAGCGCCAGTGGCTCCACCAGCACGGGTCATGTGACAAGCGTGCCCTCCACAGGGTCCAATCATGACGCAAACACGCCCTTGCTGGCCCACTGTATGACCCTTTCCAATCTCCCTAGTGGGGCTGCTGTGCCTGTATTTGGACACATGAATCAAAAGCCTATGCCAATAGACCCTACGCAGGCTACTTTGTTATCGGACTCAAATAGACACATGTACAGCGAATCTGTAATTACTGCAGATCTGTAAACAGTCTCTTTATTTTTTTAATTCGTATTATTATTTTAACTTTCATGTGTAAATATATAAACCTGAATGACATGTAAAGATTTATATTCAGAAATGTTTTATAATGAAAGACTTTTTTTTTTCATAAAGCCTGTCTAATAGTGTCCTCGCAGACATCACCAGCGCCCTTCACAGTTTCGCTGTGAATAAACAACACCAGGTGCTAGCTTTTTGCTTGAAACTGTCTCCTGAACAAGACTATCAGCTGTTACAGCCTAAACGTTTCACAGTTTCACATCTTTAAAAGCGATTTCGTTGTGAAAAACTAACTAGAAAATCATAGTGGTATTTCCCCAGTACCACTGGTCTTACTGTTAGGTCTTTTTGTGTCACCTGATCAAATTCCTGTTATTCTTTCTGCATCAATTTGTATATTTCACACATTTTCACTGTTGCAACTGTTGCAGGAATTCTTAAAAGACAACTGCAAGGTTGTTGCCAAAAAGCATACAAGAGAAAACAATTTTGATCACTAATATTGATCCAATAGAGATTCCAGTGCCTTTTCTAATCTTGAGATTTGAATAGTCAGCTCACAGACCATTTTACTGGAAGTGGCGGTTCACATATTTAACAAAATCTACGCAAATTCTGGAACACATATTGTTGTGTTGCGGGAAACACACCAACGTAATGATTTTGTTTTAAATCTTTACCTTTACCTTAATGAGGTAAAGTCCTCATAACTGTTATGTCAATAAGCTATTCCTCTCTTTCTTTCACTACCAGCCTCTTTTTCTCAGCTATGCAACATATAGGCATAATACTGGCAGTCTTGTCTTTCAATTGGTGCTTAATGATTACTGTTAATGAAGAAAAGTGGGTCTAACAGTTCTGTATAAAAAGTGTGATTCATTAGAATTTCATAGTCTATAATATAATGAATGTTCTTTGTCAATAGCTGTATTGCCTTAAGCAGAATACAGGGAGATTGCTGAAGTATTGAACTATATTTAGGTTAAATCCTTTATACGTTTATTTTCAAAGGATTTACATAAGCAGCTGTATTTCATTCTTTGAATATATTTGTTGCTATGCAACTATTTAACACAAAAAACACCCAAAATCCATTTGTATAGAAGACAATCACTTGTACAGTGCAGTTCATCAGGGTACAATATTAAACTGAAGAAAAGAACATTAAAAACCTGCTGTGGTCAACAAGCTGTCTCTGGGATTTGTTTTTTTACAGTGATTACAAGTTACTTCAATGGGATAAAACATGTTTAAAAAGTCCAGGGCAGTCGATCCAGTTTGTTAGAAATTCTTCTCTTTGAAGTTTTTGAAAACAGTTTTTACCTACCTAGGTATCTGCAGTTTTATACAGGTATCCTCTGCTTTTTAATAGAAATGTACTCCAGTTAAAACCACTTTTAACAGAAGACTGTGAATCTAGTGCCAGATGTTTTGTGCCTTTGCAAAATGTTTTAATTATACTGTATTTTTAGAAACAGTCTTTTGTAGTATCTTATAGAATTCAGTTTGCTGATACTTACAAAAAGGTTTACAACATCCAGATTGTATTGAACAAGAGGCCTTTTTTGTATTTGTGAGATCTTTGCACAATTTTTTTTGTACGGCAAAAAAATAAATAAATAACATCGCTGTTGTGTTTTTCCTGTTATTTTTGGCCATTAATACTGTGTGCAGGCTTCCAGATCATATCGATCATTGTCATTTCTCAGGTGAGAAATTTATTGCAGTACACACTTCAGGTGAGAAGTTGATTGTAGTGCATATAGAGGGGTCATGTTTATGCACATAGAAATATTACAGGATTGAAGAAGGTGCCATACAGATATTTTGCCACCCCAAAACACACGAGCATGAAAATATCTGTAGAGGTTTGAATGCAGCTGTGTCAGCATGCATTGGCTGTGAAGGAAAAAATAAAGTTTCATTTCGTGCTGAAAAGCTGACAGAAGAAAAACTTCATATATTTTAATATTTTTTTTCTGCTGTTGAGCCTTCTTTAGGTGTGAGTCACAGTTAATTCTATAATTTCTCATTTCTCCACATGGTGTCATAATGGTTACCATTCATGAACTGGGTGCTGTACTCCAGTGGAGGAAGTGGGTCCATTCATACATGTGAGGTGCACTGGGTTACTATGTGATGCATACAGACATCCATCCATTTTCTAATGGCTTTATCCCATTCAGGGTCACGGCAAGCAACGGGTGCAGGGCAGACAAACAGACACAAACATACACACACTCACACCAGGGACAATTTTCCCCAGAGGTCAGTTATCTTACCAGGATGTCTTTGGACTGTGAAAGAGAACCAGAAAACACCAGGGCTAACCATCGTGCCACAGTGCCACCCATAATTTCTATTTTTACTTAGATCACATACTACATTTTAACCACAATATTTTAATCTGTAATATTTAGTTTATTTGTTTTTTAATAAGGTATGTTAAATTGCAATACATGATAACAATAAGGGGGAGGATTTTTTTTTATTTTTCATCTTCTGTCCACTAGATGGTAGCAAATAACTCCTTTAGTGGCTGCTTGTTGCTTGACAACAGGTCGTCGCAAACACGACGTCATTCCTTTATCAGGAACAGAAAAGGTAAGTAGTTTTAACGAAAGCTGTAAAAGACATTCCCAACTCAGTCATTTTTTTTCAGCGGTTGTTTTTTCTTGGCATGGTCTTTGTGATGTCTTGGCATAAATCGAATTTGGAAAAATATGATTTTACAAACACCATGTGGTATCAACCTAAATACAGTTACAATACGTTGTTGTGCCTATTATATCATATTATATACAGAGATATATATCGTGAAATTACGATATTAAGTGGAAAAACGTTTTTATTTTATTTTAAATCCTTTTTAATTGTCTTGTACAATATATTTACATGTGCATATACAGTATATACAGAGATAAAACTGCGATATGGCTTTGGTGTTTTGTAGCTTTGTAACTTCGCTTTTTTAATCTATATTATACCTAATTTAATATATACCTTTATGAACTCAGGGTGACATGCACTCCAGATCTTATTTACTGTTGGAGAGAGAATATCTTGAGCAGCAGAAAGCCAATCTTTTTGTAAGTAGTATTTCTCTTACTTGTCCTGACTTGCATTGTTTATTCAACGAAGGTTAAAATATACGTGTGAATGTAGTTTTTATATTACAGTTTTAAAAAGGGAAGGGAAAGTGCAGATCACTTAATAGTTCCTTAGATCTATTTCCTTTTGAGGTCGGGTTGGATTTCTGTTAGTTCACCTCAAACCTTAAGGTTTCGGAGATTTGCCTGGAAATCAGATGCCGTCTTGTTTCCACCCATTGTGCTATGTTCTTTCTAAATTAGATGTGGCTCCAGATTTACTCCCGTACAAAATTAATTCACGGCCACTGAACTAAAAAGAAGCTTCCATGCTGGTCGTCTCAGTCTCAACAGTAATGTAAATGCAATGTAAAGCATTAAGGAGAACTAATGAATGGGAAACCCCCCTCCTACATTACCTGTGTCTGGAGCGTTTGCATAAATTAAAGTTCCATGAAGTTGCCACATAGCCGCATATTCCTAAATAAGGGTTAAGGTAACTCCTCCAAACCTTGAGCGCACACACACACACACAGAGGGACAATGTCGACACACCACTACGATTGATATTGTAAAAAGAAACTGATTTGAGCTACTGTATTTAATCTCTCTTTCGGCAAAATGCAGGACAGGGAAATTGAATTGCTAATTGAAGGATAACCAGATTATTGAGTCATTAGGTGTGAATCAGCGTTCTAAACTCCATTGTTAATTGTTCATGAGCTGATGTTTGTGAATTAAGAATATTCAGTGATACATGATGTGAATTTTATGATATCGTCTGTGTGCCATTAGGTTGCCCATGGTTAGGTTAATAAAGTGGTTTGATATTGCCCTAATTTATCTCAAACTGATTTTTACCTATCCCTTTTCTGTTCGTTTATAGGTTTATGAATAAAAATGTTCTGTAGACCACTTGACAAATGGAAAAAAAAAATATTCTGTTCTGGTCTGTTTTGGGTCAAGTTAGCCATTTCATTAAAGGATGTGCATTATGTGTGTTTAATGCAGGGCATAGTAGCAGAACCAGTCAATGACAACTTGCTTGAATGGGTAGCTAAAGTAAGGGGGCTCAAGGATTCTCTATGGGAAGGTGAGGTACAGTGCAACTTCACTTTTGTATTATATGGCAGAATCTGTAGTTTTTACTTTGAGCAAAATTCAGGATATCATTAAAACAGCAAGCCTTGAGAATACAGGAGATGTTTAGTTATAATGTGATATTAATACTTTGTCTACAAACATTAAAATACTAATGCATAAAAATGCCCTGGCATAGATTAAAATTAAGTGTGGCAAGTGTGATGAAAAATCAAGCTATGAAAGAAAAAAAAAAAACATACTTCAATGTGACTATCGTAGTTTAATATTGTTGAAAACATTTATTAATGGAAAACATTTTTGCAACACAAGGTGGCACAATCCAGCTGTCCATACAGTACAGCGAAGACTACAACACTGTCCCACCTGTGGTGAGATTCAGCACTATCCCATTCCATCCCAACGGTATGCAACAAACCTATTTTACTGCTGTGCTTTTTTTCTTTTGGGGCCAGGAGAGGTGTTTTTTTACCTATATAAAAATGCCTGTTACTTTCTCATGAAAAGTGAACAAGGACACTGGCCGGCCATGCATTAGCTTCCTGGATAATAAAGACGAGTGGGACTCAAGATTTTCACTCACCAGCATTTTGCTTGCAGTTCAGGTATGTAATATATTAACAGTTGCAACAAAGCCACAAAGAGAGCATTTTTCTAACTTGCATTTGCATAATACCTTGAACCATTTAATCAAGAGGTGCTCAACTCAAGTCCTGTAGTGTGGAGGCTACTCTGAAATCAAAGGCGATGAAAAGCTGTCAACCTGTTGTAGTTTAGCCAATAAATAATTCACCTGGAATGAAAACCTACAGACTTGTGTAACTGTCATTTAACCCTGTTACGCATCACTAGTAAAACCAGAAAGAAAGAGAGCTGATTTTAAATGTTGGGCCATTTATGCTGTTTGACCTGTTGCTCCATGTTTCAGAAATCCTCATCTGTTTGAAGATCTTCATGTCCTCATGATTCCCTTGGAGAGGCTTAAGCAGTGCCTCCCAATTACTTCCCTTAAGACTTCCACTTACTTAAGATAAGATCACTTTATTGGCCATATTCAATTTCTTGTATTAGGAATTTGACTTTTCACATACCCCAACTTGCTCTCCATGAAACACACAGACAGGGAGAGAAGCTTGGGGTCAGAGCGCAGGGTCAGCCATTTATACGGTGCCCCTGGAGCAGTTGGGGTTAAGGGCCTTGCGCAGGGGCACAACGGAGTAGGATTCTTCTGCCGGCCGTGGGCTACGAACCAGCAACCTTCCAGCCACAGGGCCACTGCACCGCCCATATAAAAAAAAAGGAATTGAGTGGCAAAGAAAGGGGACCCACAATCACCCCTAAATCTTCTCACATTACTTAATTAAACCATAATTGTAACCCTTTCCAGTTATTCAGCCACTTAAAAGTTAGATATTTATTTATATCATGTAATTGTTTAAAGGAATCTTCTAACAATGTTTAGGAGCTGAACAGTCCCAGCTGTGAATGTTTGAAATGTTTGGAGAATGTGAGAAGGATAACGGATCGATAAGTGTTGTCATTGAAAATAACATCCTAACATATTAGGTTATAGTGTTGTTTTAGCTGCACATGTTTTTTGTTATGGCAGACTAACAAGGACTTCACCTTGTGCTCATGTACAGTATATTTAATTTGTGTATACATTATTTTGCTTTTATATTTCCCATATCTTTTATGGGAAAGGCTGAAGAATCTGTCAATAGTACATTTTCTTTAAAAACTTTCAGTGAGACAAAAGAACGTATGTTTACCAAAGAATGTGCACATATGGAGAGATGATCAGGCCGATACTTTTTGGCAGAGGAAATGGGAATTCATATTTGGAATGTGGAGTGAATGTTTTGTAAAGGGGGTCTGATAGCTTTTGGAAAGCTTTTGATCTCTTCTGTCTTTGAGTCCCAGGATTCTCATATGGACTAAACCCATAATAGTTGATGTTCTGGAATCTGAACGCATATTATCATCACAGTGTGGTTGTATGAAAAGAATGTATTTATAGCTGTCTAGATACAGTGTATTTTGAATGTGTGTACAGTCATTTTGCCGGTTTGAATTGTATAATACCATCGTATCGTGGTATGTTTCCTCCATAAATTAATTTTGTGCACACACTTACTTCTCAAATAAAGCCATATATTGCAGGATTAAAGAAGCTTTTATAAATGCAGAGATGCATTTTGTTTCCGTTTCCATTTAATCCTGCTTTATTAGTGCACCAAATTTCCACGTTGTACAGTGGTAGCTTCCTCTGTACCATGAATTACAGTCTATATGTTATCTTTTCCTCCACAACAGTACATATCAAGAACTTTTCTCAGTGTTGAGCTATATATTCTCTGATAGATTTAATACCAACTATTTTTGATCATTATTAATTTTCAATAAATTATATAAGAAAATCAACACTTGTGCAAGAACAAATCTGCCCTTAAACAACAATAGAGTTTAGTTTAGTACAAGATTTGTTAGAAACTGAAGTCTTGCCTTAATGTTTTGTACAGGTAATGTTATCCAACCCAGTCCTAGAAAATGCAGTAAATCTGGAGGCTGCTGAAATGCTAAGGACCAGCCCATCATTATTCAGACAGGTGGTGTTAGACTGTGTCAGGAACAGCCGACAGCTGGAGAGTAAGAACCTTTGGAGCTTCTGATGGAAATGAAATATTGATAAGGCCTTGAAATTTTTATATGCTTTCGGACTACAGCTTATCAGTCTGCACACACGCCAATTTCTATGCCATATTACTGTTTTATCACTGACAGAGAGGGAAATTAGATTTATTGATACTGTCCCCCAATTCATCGGAGTAATAAAAAACACAAAATAAAATCTACACAATATTACTAATATGTTTCTGAATCGGAAAATACCTAATTAGCAGAAACAAAAACTGAAGCTTCACCTCAGTTACTTTCTTGTAAAATCATAAACTTAATGAAAAAATAAATGAAAGATAAATCGTTGGAAATGAGGCATGCATGAGATATTGTTTTACCATATGGTGTTTCTCTGCCTCAAGGATAGAAAATAAGGAAGGAGCTATAAGTACTGGAACTTTAATGGTTCCTGGTTTTTAATGGTTGTGAACTCCACTACTTCCAAGAATCTGAAGAACTCTGGAAGCATAGGATGAGGAAATTTGCAAGATTGAAAAAAATATCCCTTGTTAGATAGGGTGTGTTTTCTCATGTAAATTTGTAGCTGCAGTTTCTGTCTTTGCCTCTAGGTGGACACAGCATCCACGAAGATCTGGTTATGTCTCCATGTTTTCCAGGATTGGAAGGAGCAGAGATTGGCATGGTGCATGTCAGGTGAGCAGAAAATGCAGTTGTTACACAGCTGTTTCTTTTATTGTCAGTTTTAAGAAAAAGAAACATAAAAATGTAACATACAAATCCACTAACAGCCTTTCACCTTCCCTTCAGATATTGGAGATATTCATAATGGTAAAAGTTACTGTGATGTGATGACAGTGATGATTCATCTACTGTAATAAACTCAGTCTTCCAGAACTTTCCATTGTTTAAAGTGCCTCCAACACACACCTGAAAACTCAGATGTGGACAGTCTTGAGTGCTATTATATTCCACACATAACAATGCACTAGAGCCCACATGGGGATTGTCTCTGATTGCTTCCATTTGTGTTAGCTGGCAAGAGTACAGTAGCTGGATGTAAAGATGTCCCCTGAAGAACACAGAGGGGCTTACTGGGAGAAGGAACGGTACTGGATTGAGTTGGACCAAAAGAATTACAAACAAGTCGCATGCCTGAATCTAGGCATATTTTCCACACCGCTCCACATCAGCTTTATTTATTTCTGCTCCCATAAATATACTATTTCTTTGAATGTTTTCTTGCGGAGGTTTGATGTTATTATAACACTGTTGTCTAGTAAGTGCATTTGTACTGAAACAGTTTATTTTTATACTCTGTTTCACATTTAGTCAACAATGTGAGTGAGAAAATGTAAAACTAATTCAGGATCAAACCTAAACATTCATACTCTACCCCATTAGATATATTTTTGCTTTTGCTTTTGTTGAGCTTATATTTGGAAAAGTTCACTTAATGTGAACAAATTCAATGTGAAACATAAATGGCTTCAGCAGGGCTTTGTTAAAAGATAGAAGACACGAAATAGGATCGAATAAATGAAGGGTAGGAGTATAAGCTTTCAGGTTGTGTTGTAGGGCTTCACTCCTCAGAGAATCTAATCCTTCAAGTTGGTGACATTTCAACAAGACCCTATTCTCATGAAGCATGAATAGTTATTGTTCAGGGGGATGACAGCAAGATGACCTTCAATTAAAGGACACCTTTGTCAGTGGATCAATCTCTGACCTAGGCCCTTGAAAATGTTTAAGTCAAGTGCCTCATCTTGTGCTGTTTCGTTCCCAGTCATTTTTGTAACTTCCCAGCATCAAGCTGTGAAATATACAGTATTTATTTGTCATTTCAGCTGTTTTCCCTTGAAGGGCAATCACAGACATTGCTCTGTTGATTAGAATGCATGTGGAGAGAACTAGAACTTTGTTGCATACAGAATAAAATCTTCACATAGCTTCTTATCACCTGTGTGTGTAAAATTCTGCCTTTCCCATTATTTGACAAAATTATATCCGATATTAAAGCTAACAACATAGCTTTAATACCAAAATAGATTAGTACTATTTTGAAAACTGTACAATACAATTCTACGTACATATGAATAATAGCTGCTCGGTCTGGGAGTTTTCAACATGTGCAACACATGGAGCATATGTGAAAAGCGCAACAAAACCCACTTTTTCCGAGAAAAACTGAAGGCACTACAGATGCAGGAGCTGAGGTGAAGGAACTGGCTAATCCCACATTCACCAAGGTATAAACCCCACGAACTAGAAGAGTGCCAGCACAGAGAAGCTGATGAAGAGGTATTTGTCCCTTGTGAAAGGGAAAAGAATACAGCAGTCTGTCCTTTCACCATCTATAATGGCATGGAGGTGGACTGTGTAGATCTCGCAGTTTTAGATGGGAGCTCCCAGCTTAACTCCATCACTGCACCTTAAATCAGTTTCAGGGACATCAAAAACACAAGACAGGAGTAGTGGTGGTTAAAAACTATTGACAGGACCTCTGCAAGTGAGGTATGCATTTGGCACCCTAAACCAACCATAGTCTTCCCCGAGCCAAGATGGCTATCCTTGTTTAAAGAGTAGCAGGTTCATAGCAAAGAAGGATTTTGTTGTTTACGTTGGTTCCATCACAAAAAAAAGACATTCGAAACTAGCGGAAGAGCGGGATCAATTTAGTGTTTTTTTTTTCTGCCTGCAGCTTGCAAAAAAGGTGAGCACCTAAAAAATGTTGATCTCTAAATACAGCACTCAGCTGAAGACACAGTGTGCCGAAAAAGGCTTGGGCTTTCTTGGTGGCTGTGCACCCTTGTATGACAAAGGTTATTTGTGTAGACATGGCAGATTACAAATGCACAAAGTCAGCTTGAGGCAAGGCTCTGCACAGAAATTCAAAGCCATTCAACCTAGAATGAAAGGGGGGAGGATCCAAAGAAAATCTGCAAGGGAGATACACCAGGAATAGAGTCAAGAACAGACCCCAGAGGGAAAAACACAATATCAAAGGACCAGGTAATTAAATGCTTATACCTAAGCACTAGGACTACTAGGAACAAAACGCAAGAACTAGAAGCTACTGTGTTAGCATGTGATTATGATGTAATTGGAGTCACAAAAAGATGGCTAATAATGGATGGCGATGGTGAAAAATACAGCAATAATGGATACACAGCATTCTGAACAGACACAAGAACCATTCGTGAATTGTGATCTTAGTAGAAAGCAGTGACTCAAATAACTTAATATGCCAATTAAGAAAAATGTAAGGAGAAAGAAAGCACATTTTAAAAGTGATTGAAAAGAAAATAATTACTTTAAAGAAATGGGAGTTTGATCAATTGCATGCACAGATAAAAAATATATTGTAAATTAGGAACTACAAGGGAAAAAAGATTATGGTAAAGTAAAGGAGGCTTAAATACTTGGGGTTTTTTTTTCAGTTTTGCAACAGCACAAGAACAAGTAAAGGATAAAGTAAAATGTCTCAGAGATCTTGATTAACTACTCACCACAAAACTGCTGGATGAGATAATTGGTTCATTTACAGAAAAACAAGCATATGAGCTACATGTAGATAGGCCAAATGGACTCTTCTTGTTTGTAACCTTTCTTATGTTCCTGTGTTCAAAGTCCTCTAATAATATACTCACACTGCATGATTTTCTTCCTAGACACTTTTTATGTAGGAATGACAGGGAAATTGTGAAATAGCGGTAGACAGTGAAGAGAACTAAGAAACTTTAAACAGCCACAGTCTTTTCCTTTCTCCATTCTGATGATAAAAGGTCAAGTGGTCTCCTCTTTGTGATGTCACGAGCTATATTACTGTAGTAACTGATTTGTAAGTCATGAAATGTTAAACTCATGGGGCTCACTGTAGACAGACAGAGCCTTTTATGTACTTTACATACAAAGGAGAAAGATTGATTGCTTGGAGACAATATCTCAATGTTTTATCTGAAACGGTAATTGAAAGTTAAGTATCTCAATATGTTATCTGAAAAAGGTAATTGAAAGTTAGGTTTAGAACTACATAACTGTACTCTTTATTATGTGCCCACAGTTGATGGTCTTTTGGGTTTTTATTTTTAAAGCTTGATTTATCGTTGCTTGTTTAACTCTCACATCCCACATTACTGTAGCAGACTATATTTTGTTTGTTTGTTTTTTCTTTCAGAAATGTCAAAAGAATCTCTTTTGAAGAATATTTGAAAACCTGGTCTGGGATTGCCACATCAAAGGCATCACAAAATCAGAAAAATCCATGTAATGTATATAAACATAACATACATTAGAATTTAATGGTTGTTATTTCTCAGCTTTTAAATCATATTACATTTGTGTGTCTTTCCAAATGTAGTTTTATTATACATTAATCTAAACTGTGTAAAGAGTAGTGACTGAATTATAATTTCTGTTATTATGTATTGCAACAGATTTGTCAACAGCAGATTAGTCATAAGGCGCATGTGCTTTTTTACAGTGCTGGAGGGACTGCTGTGTGACCCATACTTACATGCAATGCACTATGGACTCCAAGGGACAGGAATACTGGAGGAAGCTCTAGCACAGAATGAAGCGTAAGAACCAATATAACTTAATTATATGGCAGTCAGGGAGTGGTAACAGCACCTTGTGAGATCGGAAAGTGTCATAGTCCCTTGTCTGATACTGCTAGTGCAATCATGGCCTTTTAAGACTGCTTAGTCTAAAATAAAACATGCAGTTCAAATCTGGGAAACTCCTGTCACACAGGAGATGAGTGTGATAAAGGCACATTGTTAGAAGACTTGATACACAACCATACAAAACTAATTTTGTCACAAAGGGACAATTGGACAGCAGTGTTACCTCCTCTCAGGAGTTAAGTAAGGCTGGAGCTGCCCAGTATGGTAATACGAAACTTCTACTGTAATTAAAAGCAGGTTGCTGCTGTGTTGGTAGACGTGTAGGTGACACGCCTCCCTCTGAGCCAAAATGATTAAACCATTACCCCAAGATGGTGAAGGGACATTTTGTCATCCTTTAGAGACATAATACTGAGATCCTGGCTACTTGTCATTAAAAATCCCATTGCACTATCTGGCCTGTCTAGATTTCCCTTAATTCTCTTGTGAAGTGAATAGTGTGTTGTGTAGTGTCACCGCTAGAAGATAATGGCTTTTGTACATAACCCAGGTGGATGCTGTATTTAAGTGATAACTGCGGCAGGTCCGCTCCTGTACATGAAGTGCTTTGGGTTCCTTTGGGATTAAAATCAGTATAGAAATGCAAGCATTCATTATTCCATAAGGCTTTAGTAAAATAATGATATAACACTTAATAATACCTAACCTTGGTTTGGCTTTGAATGTGATATTTTTTATAATATTATTATTATTGAGGAGTTGTGTTTTATCAAAATCAATTAACGTCTATTCACAAGACTAATACATGTATAGCAGATGTTGCCGATGTGTCTGTCTTCAATGGCACTGTTTCTTCACAGGTTTAAAACCATCATGTATGGACCTGCTGAAAAGTCAAAGAAATCTCAGATCACAGTAGATGAAAAGCTAGCAAGAATTCACCAAATGAAAAGAGTTTATCTGCTAAAGAGAACACCAGGTGAGCTCAGCGGGGCACTCCCTCCACGCACAAATCTTGACCTGCATATAATAAATGCTATGTATTCTACAGAAATACAAAAGCTGACTACAAATGGCATCACTAAAGTTTAGTTGAGACATATCAGCAGCTCTCCACATGACATCTAATGAAACTTGCCTGGCAGCTAAACTACACAGTCTTTCGGAGGTTACTGGTATCCAACCAGCCTCTCTATTCTGAGAAGCAGCTGTATTGTTCTGCTGTCTGGACATGTGCCGCTAACATGTTGCACTGGCATACCTCTTGAAGTGGCAGCCCAAACCATGTTTCCTTTTTGAGTTTCAAAAACAAAATGTTAATCGCTGTCTCTCCAAGTCCAGATATCTGTTATTTGTCTTAAGTCATAAGGAAAAAATAGTTGTTGTTTTTTTTTAAAGAAATTGCGTACTTTAATTTGCACAGTCCAGCAGAGGTTTTACCGTGTCTAACACAAGGCTCTTGTTTTGTGATGGTGCGTCTTGCTACTAAGAGGCCGTCACTCATCTTCAGTCGTCACGGGACACTCCCTGCAGCCTACAAAGAGAGGAGCAGTGGGAGAGGGAGGTGGACAACTTGGTCGCCTGGACGAACTCTCTTTCATTGGAAGAGCTGGAGGAAGACTGAGCAGCAGAAAGCTCAATTCCAGCAAAACAATGGCAGCAATTAAAACCACAAAACCACCTCAGAAGTAACATATGGCATATCTGCTTTTTATAGCTTGATTTTTTTTAATAATGTTTACCATGTCACAGGCATGCTAGCAATAATAAACAGGTAACAGCTCCACTCGGTTTGCGTGACCATAGTGTATGTTATTGAACAGTTGCCCGTTAAGTCAATGCAATTCAAAGGTGGAGGAAAAGTGTAAGTTAAAAAAAAACAAAAAAGGAAAAGGAAGGAGAAGAGTACAAACTTATTTCCTCCGAGCTAACTTTTTATATATCTGCCTTTAATTGTGAGCTAGGTCAACTTGTGTTCCCCTGGGGCTGACAAAAAAGCCACTTGATTACAAAAGCAGTTTTTTCTGTGTTTATCCATGGACTTGTTTGGGTTCCCTGCTTCTTAGATCTTTTGAATTGTCCATAAATCCTGAGCTGGAAATGTTAGACAGGCGAAGCACTCACAAAAGCAATGAAGAATAAACAAACAATTTTGGCGGTTCGGCTTACTGATGATGGTTTAGTCACTTGCAGTTGATGGATCCCAGAGACATGTTTCTGAAAGGAATTAAACCATAGCGGCAACATCGCTGGTTAATGTTTTCCATGTGCTTGAAGACTTTCTGGGTGAAAAAGTACCTCCTAGATTGCATCCTGTGTCTGTTTCCACTCAGTTTCCAAATATTTTTTTCTTTTTTCTGAGCCCCTGTTTCTAAGTTTAAAAAAGGAAAAGATTAAAAAAAAAACATTGAGAGTTACTGTATGAAACCTAACCTTGATAGATGCAGATATAATTGAACCCTGTCCTGCCTTTAAATCTAAATACTGCTTAAGAGATGTGAATTTGGTCATCCTATTTTATTTACCTTCAACAATGTGTTCTACAAACTGCTGACTGTACTCTGATCTTCTTTTGTTACCTAATCTCCTTTGATGTCTTTACTTCCTGAGTCCAGCTGAAGCATAATGAATCATGATGCACTGTTCATCGAACAATGAGCAAGACACACAAAAGGGGGATACTAATAACTGCTCAATGTTTTAATATGAGGAAATAATGATAATTCAGAAGCTCAATATTCCTGGAGATATGGTTAATATCCTGCTGTCTTTATAACTCTTGAACAGATAACTCTTGAACAATTCTGTGTTTATTCATGTTGTCTGCCATTTTGAAACAACACAGATCCACTAAATGTATACTGAAAAAATTTAAACAACTGTCCACAGGATAGTTTTAGGAAGACTGCCATGTATACTGTATATATACTGTCATATATGATTAAATGGAACAGTGTTTTTCAGTATGCTTAATAAAGGCCCATTTTGTGGCAGTCATCCTAGGCCAAAAATATAAAATGAGCATTAAAGCACTCTTATTATTGTTCATATGTTCCTTAATTCCATGCTTTTAATACATAAACATTGTGCTTTTGGTAAATGAATCAATCTCAGCCATTGAGCTGTAGGGTTTGAGTGAAAATACTGCATTTATTGTTTTCTAAGTGATAAAGTGATAAAAGATATTACTATCTTACTCTTATAAAATAATTCTTATAGCATCACTACGTTCTCTCAGAAGAACCACACAGATTTGATTGGCAAAGCACCAACAGTTTAATCCAGACGCACTTGAATCTGTAAGGCGATAAATTTACACACTTGTTCAGTAAGCTCAGGTAATTCATATAATGGCTATGGATGTGCGACATTTAGGTACATATTCATATGACTAGTATATTACATTCATATAGAAAACAAAGGCTCTTTGCAATATAAAAGTTATAAAAAGTAAATTTATTTTATTAACGTTTTAATTGGTATGCTGAAAGACATGGACTTTGTGATGTTTCTCTTGATATAGAATTAAAGTTTTGTGAAAATGACTCTTCATATCTAGGTTGTGAAAATCTTTCCTTGGCGGCACAGTGGTTAGCATAATTGCCTTGCAGCTCTGGAGCCCTGGGGTTTATTCTGGAACTGAGGTGCTGTCTGTGTGGACCTTGTATGCTTTCCCTGTGTTCACATGGGTTTCCTCTGAGTGTTCTGGTTTCCTCCCACAGTCCAAAGACACACTGGTAGGTTAATTGGCTTCTGGGAATATTGAGTGTGTGTGTCTGCCCTGTGCTAGACTGGTATCACGTCCAGGGTGTACCCTGCATTATGCCCGTTACTTGCCGAGATGATTATTTAGTTTCTAACAAATGTCTGGGAGGGGTGACAACAGCGGAGTTCAATCAGCCTCAGCTGTAATTTATAATCAATCCAGACATCATTCCCTCACCTAAATATTATAAATACTACATGTAATATCCTTCTCTCCCTCGTAAACATCTTTTTGCATCCCTCCTCGACCCCATCTCCACTGCTGCTGCACTTTGGTCACTCCTCACTCTGCTGGGTGTCCCAGCCTCCTTGTCCTACTGTATACCCACATTAGCCCACAGCCAAGTAGGTTAAGCCAAATTAAACTTAAACACTCAACAGACTTTTTAATACACCTCATCCTTGAAATTGTATTCCTAGTGGGACTTTGTATTTGTTGTGCCTAGCGACCTTAAAAAGCATGGATAAATTTGAGGTTTTAAATATGGTACCAAATCACTCCCTGTCTCAACATTTTAACTAGTATTTTTCTGTTTCTAAGTAAAGATAATGTATGCAAAGATTGCTGCAGACACCCCACAATGGGGTTTATAAAATATTAAACATAAAACAGAGAGTAACATGATGTCTACATATCTATTTAGACGTGAGAGATATGTGAATTAATATTAAGCATTACCTGTCATCGGTAGTGGAAGTCAGGAGCAAAATATGTAACAGATTTCAGTGAATTTGCATACTTCTGAAATGCTACTGAATTCTTTCATGTTTTCCCCTTCATTAATTTCTTTGATTCATTAAAAAGGTTTCTGTATTATAAGAAGTGAAAAATAATTGCATCCTAACACCCAGTGCCCATTATCAGCTTCAACCAGGAGGCAGGTAGAAGCAGTAATCATCTCTGGCTTGTTTGTAGCTCTGCACACTTTCAAGTTGTGATGTCAAGGCACATTCTCGGCAATTTTAAATATATCTAGAAATAGAAATAGGTTTCTGCTGGGAATCAGCTTAGCCTTCAAAGCTCGCTACACTGCTAAATTTTGATGTTAGGAAGGGGCGGAGGATAAAAAAGGTTGCGGTTTTATGCAGCTGTTAGGTGCCCAGACATCACGTTGCCATGGAAACTGTGCATGTTCTAAACTTTTCTGAGATGCACAGATAATACTTGAGACACTTGGCTTGAATAGTTTTGTCTAATGGAGTCCAAGCAATACAGCCGATCAGTTTTTTTTTTATTGGAAAATGGCTCATTTCCTTTATTATTGTGATAATCTGCATGTGATGATTAGTTTTATATTAATATGCTTGCAATCCAACCATATATTTGCACACTGCATTTTAATGACTGGTGTTAAACAGCAAAGATGAATGTCTGCTGACATTGGTGGTGGTGTCTCCTGGATTGTTCTTATAACTCCATTGTCATGACTGTTATTTGCTTTCTCAATTAGCCTGCCTTCAATCAGAGGTGGAATGTTCTGTGTGCTCTGTCTACACTATCTCTGTCTGCAGACCTCATTAGGGTCTGGTAACATGACCCTTTTGCAAACACACGCTGCCAGATGAAACTGTTTCAAGGAATGTGGCAGGAGAGTGGGGTCAGTGGCCCAGCTTTTCCTCGAGATGGCTTGTGAATTCACACCCCAGGCCCACAATTTGTCACACTGAAAGCCAAAAGGCAAGACATTCCAAGATGTCATGCAGAAATGTAGGGGAGACCAAGTGAAAATAGAGAAAGTACATTTCATCGGCAAAGCTTTCTTAATAGGGCTGAAGAACTGTACGTCAGCGATCAGTTCTTTTCTGTTGGACAATCAGCTGTGTTAAGAACTTTGCATGTGTCTTGAAGGTATGCTCAGGATGACAGGCATGAGTACAGATCAACTCCTTGTATCTTGAACAAGTTAATTCATTGCATCATTTTACCACACTTTTACAGTCACAAATTTTAATGGAAATTTAGCTTGCTGAAAGCTATGCTTTGATAAAATGAGGGTTAATAATATAGATATATAATTGATATATAAAATATAACTATATATAATGATTGATTGGATTTGTATGAAACCTTTCATCCCATATGATCCCAAAGCACTTTATATATAGTAGCTGATACGCCCCATCCACCACTAAGGCACCCATCTGGGTTATGCATGGCTGCCATTATGTGCCAGTAGACCCACTACATAGCAGGGAAGTGAGGCCTTTCTGCACCAGTGAAACTGTAGCGAGGCCAGAGCTTTTAACATAATTTGTCTTATGTGCTGTGTTATAGGATCGTTAATGAGAAAAACAGTCAGAACCTCAGGACCAACATCTAAACCATGGGACACCACCTCCCACAGCACAAGTATAAAAGGGCATTGGTGTTTTGGAAATTCCAGTCCAGAGGGAAGAATATCACCTCCAGATCTGTCACAAAAACACTATTCACAAAAGCAGCAATCTTGTCTTCCATCTTAGTTCCATCAAACAAGCTCCTTCTTGTTTGATTTCTGAAACCTGATGAGATCAGGCTGGAAGGTGGTAATGCTGCAGTTGTACTGTCATATCATTAAAAGCTAAGTTCTTTGTTGGTATTTCTGCTTTTAAAAATAAAACATAATTCAACTCTCAAATGAATAAGAGTTATCCAATATTTGTCTTCCACTTGACTTTCTAATGAAATTGTACTATTGTTCTTATAATTACGGATAGTAATAGTTGTAGAGACCAAAGCGGACCCTTCAAATGTATGTCTTAATGGACATTGGTGTACTGTAACCCATACAAGACAGTGTCACTTTTCTTATCGAGAAACATTCTGTCCGTATCAGATTTTTGCCATATTGTCTTTTCTTACTCCACCAATTCGTATTAACAGTGGCAATAGGCACTTTTGTCCTATATTTATCTTCAACGTTTAGATCTTGGGTAATTTATTCACAATTAAGAATTTAAAAATCAAACCATTTTTCAAAGAATTTATCTCACAGAACCAGGTGGCTTTGTGGATCTGCAGTTTAATTAAAATTATGCAAATAAAACTCTGTAAGACAAACCCTACACTAGTAACCAAGCTGAGAGCACAGTTGCATATAATGATATGCAGCTGAGCACTCAGCTCATATTTTATTTTCTATAATAATAATAATAATAATAATAATAATAATAAATTGCTTTTACTTATATAGTGCTTTTCTGGACACTCCACTCACAAGTGCTTTATAGGTAATGGGACTCCCCTCCACTACCACAAATGTGCAGAATCCACCATAAAATGTCACATAATCTGTATATGGTCAATTGTTGTTAATGTTTTTGTCCTGAATCTGCCCCACTGTGGTTTAAGTTACCCTAGTTTAACAGATCTTTTTCATCTGCGTCCTGATTTGTTTTTTTTCATATTCCATATTGTCTGTGCACCTTTTAACCATCTGGAGCTCAAACCTGAATGATTTATAAGTAATTTATAAGTGTTCTTTGTCTTCTTTTACTAGAATATTTTAATGATTTAAAAAAATATATTTTTACTGTAGCAGCTTGATCTGTGGCTCTTATGTTGCACTGTCACGTCTGGGATGGCTATCTCACTAGCTTACTGTGACAGAGCTTTCAGCACAGAATTGGCACATTGTTGCTGGGGTAGGATTAATCTCAGGTAAATAGCAGGCTTGCAGTGTCGTCGGTGAGATCCACACTATTCTTCCCTGTCATGGCTAATTCTCCAGGCAGGTACAGTGGATCTTGCAACATCTCAAGTGACAGTGTCAGTGCTAGAGGTTGTGTCACAGGAGCGTTTTTGTGATATCATTCTCTCATGAGAAGTACTGGATTTGCTGCTAGAAATTCAAGTCAGTAATAACCAGGTACATGATGTACTGGGCTCCCAATATCCAAATTGAGTGAGTAAAGAAAATAATTGGCTACATTAACAAGGATAGCTTGGTAGTGATGGGGTCTTGGGTTCAATTCCAGACTTAGGGTGTTAGCTGTGTGGAGTTTGCATGTTCTCCCTCTGTTTGCTGATTGTTGATTTTGGTTTCTTCTGTAAGTCCAAAAACATAGTAGGTATATTGGCTCTGATGTGTATGCTTGTGTGTACCCTCTGATGACTTCATGTCCAGTTCAGGGTGTATCAGGGTGTCTGCCCATTGCTTGCTGTGATAGGCTCCCTGTGACCTTTTATTGGATAAAGTGGTTAGAGAATGGATGGATGTATTAACCTTTATTGGATTTTTGTCTAAAGAATGTGCAAAAAAGAATGTTCTGTCCCT